AACTGGTATTAATGTGGAGGAGATGATCAGTTCACGCGCGCCTCGCGCTACCGCATCTGTTGAACTGAGGCGCTACAGCGATCTGTCACTCCACATTAAACAGTGCCAAAACGGCATTAATTGTTTGAATACTGCAATACAATGGACAGAATTTGAAATCTGAGACTTTGTTTCATATTAAAAGTTCCAAAGCACAATGATTATTGCGATATGCTGGATGGGAAGTGCCCTTCAACGTTCGGTCCATTGACTGAAAACAGGCTAGACTAATCGATTCTTGGAATTTAAGAATCGATATCGTTCCGTAAAAATGAGAATCGATTAATATCGAGATATCGATATTTTTTACCCAGCCCTACTGTTTATTAATTTAAATTAAAAAATGTAAAAGTTTAGGAAAACATTCTTTATATTAAAAATAGTTTAAGTTACTGTAAAGCTGATTGTTTTAAGGCTATCTATTGCATAAAGTACTATATAAAAAAACGTGACATGACTGGACTTTACAGGAGTACCGAACTGCAGAGCTCGTGCAAACATCTACATCGCTGTAATCAGATGCTTTCTTAACTGCTGCTTTCACACTGCGGTCAGTTTTTGTTGTTTATTTCGTTATTGAGAGGAAAGCGCACAGCATAGATTTACAAATTCATCCAAACGCTGCTCAGCAGTTTGCATTTGCTCTGAAGCGCTGTGTCTTCTTCTCTTGAAATGCATCCAGGAGGGCTGAATTACAGTATTGCGCTACAGCGCCACACTGGTCACACCGCATTATTGCAGGCTCTTACATTAGGTCAAATGAGATCAAACGACTACTCGACAACAAAAATATTTGTCGACAATTTTTTATTGTCGACGTTGTCGATAATGTCGACTAATCATTTCAGCCCTAGAGAACAATAAACAGACTTTACTAGAGCTTTTACAATTTCTGAAGAAAATGTGAGAGGTGCATGTGCAAAACTCTAGGCTGGTTGCATTGTTCAATATTTAGGGTTAAAGGTTTGTTTAAATATAATCAATATAGTGATGCGTACCATAACAACTACCACTAATGATACCAGAGAACATTCAATAGTGCTTTTATGGTACGATATCTGTATCTCAGTGTCCAATAACAACAGTCATTATATGTGGTGATACAAGCAGATGTTTTTGATAGCCTTTCTATGCTGACATGATTTCTCGTCTCACTTGACGTCAGGTGATTTGTGTGCCATAAATTACTATTGCTGACTCACGGCCAAAGTCATACTGCAGTTGCATCACAATGTATTTTCAACAGCTAGTGCATAGCAGTTTCTCTAGGTCTTTTGACAAGGTTTGTCTCATTAGCATATGGAAATACCAAAGAATATTGAAATGTTTAAATAAATGCAACACTGCATAACCTTAAAGTCTTAAACTTTAAATAATTACTGTATTGTACGCTGGTTAACACCAGCATACCGATAAAAACCCTGGACTCAAAGCTTTTAATGGCCCATTATACTTACAAACCAATAAACGTTTAAAGCAGGATTACCTAAATAAAGGTCTCAATATAGTAAATAAAATATTCAAGATATACTGGTCAGAAATGAGCCAGCTAAAAAAACACAGTGCTGTCTGTCTGTGTGCAGCAATATTGTGGGTTAATAAAATGTGCATATGTTTTGGAGAAAGTGGTGTGGGTTCCTCTACCCTTGTTATTCCGTAACTCTCACCTCGTTTGTCTTCCAACTCCTATCAAAGTCCACATGAGTTTTTTTTATTTTTAACTCAGTCAAGGATTTCACAGCTGTTTCGAAAGCAAGACTGAATTTAGTAGAGTCTTTCTCACACCCAATTTTTACTGCGGTGACATTTTATTAACTTGCATTAAAAAATGTTACAATTGTATAATGTATTTTAATGCTTAAAAGACTATAAGTAACTCATTTTCATTTTTAAAAAAATCTTTATTTCTGAGTATTTAAATGTGTAAATTTGTTCAAATGTATCTGTACTCTACCTGTTTTATATAACAATAAAACACTGCCATAAGGTGAAACTTCACACTAAAAATATAAGTTATATGCGCTGTTTAATTTATCTGTAACTTAATTTATACATTACAGTGAGGTAAACTGAAGTTAAACTGTAACTGTTTTATATCAGTACACACTGTCATGAAGTGAATTCCACTTAAAATATGTTATATGTACTTTAACTGTTTCACAGTTATGTAAACATTTCAGTGAGGTGTTGATCTGTAGTTTTTTATTTATTTTTTTTACAGATTTTTAATACACTGTAGTGAGTTGAATTGTAAATTATCTGTAGTTTAATTCTTTTATATAGATACATTGCAATGAGGTAAATTTGACTTAAGTTGAAATGCAGTATTTTTTCTGTACTGATTTATGTTTATGTACAACTGAGATAAAAAGTTAAATAGTAAATTATCTGTAGTTTAACTGTGTTATAACAGTATAAAAACTAATGTGGTGAATTTTTACGTTATATATCCTTAACAGAGGTTAAGTAACATTTTAAGTGAAATTCACCTCATTACAGTAAGTATATTGTTATAAAACAATTAAACAACAAATGCATTGCAATCTAACTTTGATTTGACCTCACTGCAATGTGTAAATTACTGTACTGAACTTATAACTCACTGAAAAGTATACATTACTATGAAACAAATTAAATTACAGTGTACAATATTACAGTGAGGTGAATTTTTACAGTTATGTAAACATTGCATTGATTTTATAGCATTGTATATTTTGAGTTGCAGGCACTGATTGATTTAACACGTTTTGTAGTCATGTAAACACTTGCATGAGGTGAAATTGCACTTTATAGTGAAGCAGACATTTCAGTAAGGTAAATTTGAGTTGTACCTGTACGCCAGTGTCATGCATTCAAACAGGCGTGTGAGAGTGGGGTCAATGCTCAGGCGTCTGGAGCTCAGTGGACCGAAGCTGTAGGTCTGGCAATCCGGTTTATTAACGGTGTCAAAATCATAATTATCAGAATTATAAAGAGCCGCGCTTCTCCTCCTGATTGAGTCGCTGTGTGGCGAGGACACCATGAAGTGTCCGCTGTGGATCACCTGAGTCCGCCGGCATGACCCGAATCCCGCTCCGGCGTTCACACTAGGCAAGTGGTCCTCCGGATCCGAATCAGACTCTGAATCCGGTCCGATCTGGCTGGGATCTGCGGTTTCTGAGTACTCTGCCTTTGCCATCGGTGCTGATCTAGTCCTGTCACTCTGCTCAAATGCAGTCCACTGAGAAAAACGCCATATGAGGAGGCGCACTTCACTCTCTACTGCACTGCATACTTAGTACGCAGCGCTGCAGGTCAAAGATCAAGCGCGATAAAATGATCAAAACCCACTGATTAAAAAGCTGCGTTGAGCAGTTTCAGACTCTGACAGTCTGAACTCGCGCACAATTATGTAAAAGTTGATCTCTGTCCCAGGCACCTATTGATGTGCTGTGACATACAGTGTTGGGGGTAACTCATTACAAGTAACGCGAGTTACGTAATCAGATTACTTTTGTCAAGTAACTAGTAAAGTAACGCATTACTTTTTTAATTTACAAGAAAATATCTGAGTTACTTTTTCAAAAAAGTAATGCCAGTTACTTTGTTTTCCCATGTATTGACTGACAGCTCTCCTGTCCCCAAGTTGAGAGAAATCGGGAGTAAGTGCAGAGGCGTTGTGTGTGCGCCGTGTGAACATGATGTTACTGTAGTTCTAGACTAAATGTGAATGTGCATTAATTCATCACACTCACAAAAAACAGATTTAGTATTCATCAAAATGAATTAAAACAGTGAAATGCAAACTCAGAATATGATGCAAACCTGCAATAATTAAATATGTTAAATAACACAAATGTATCTAATCCCATTTTATTAACCAATGTCTTTGCTGTTGACCTTTGCTGATCCAGTTCAACCATACTAATAAGCAAAAATGACTTTAGATAAACTAACAATTGTGCTTTGTTTTTTTTTATTGCTGAAGTGTTTCTTCTCCTGCGTTCTACTGTCCAGACGTGAATTTACTTTTGCTTCAGCCTGAGGTTTATTCATTACACTTTTTGGTGTGAAAGTGCTTTTATATTTGCTATAAATGGAACTTCTTATATTAAAAACAATCAAGCCCTGCTCATATGTAAAAAGTAACGCAAAAGTAACGTAACGCATTACTTTACATAAAAAGTAACTAAGTACCGTAATTAGTTACTTTTTTAGGGAGTAACGCAATATTGTAATGCATTACTTTTAAAAGTAACTTTCCCCAACACTGGTGACGTATTATTACTAGCTAGTATTACTAGTAAGAGTCTATTTGATGAGTAAACGTGTCCTAGTGATTGCGATGTGGCTTCCTTGTTTTTGAATAAACATGCACTTGTTGTACACGTCTAGTAAAACGGATCTGTAAAATGTCATGTTTATTTAAAATACTTTATTCACAAATGTAAAGTTTTGAAAACAGCACCCCAGTTTAGTGTCTTTGAAAAGGAGCTAGCCATGTATAAGGCCATTCAATTATTTGATTGCTTTAATCGGTGTGATATTGTTTAATCAGTTATGCTTTGTATATATGTATTTATAATTTTTTCTAAATAAAATATTTTTAATACAAACAAACGTTGTAGAACTAAGGTGGGATCATGTGTATCACAAAAGGGCAAAATAACATTTCATAAAATAAAAATAAAGACATGTGAAATATATATTATCTTGGCTTATATTTATTTTATTTTCTATATTTATTTTAAAATGAATAGGCTATGTTTTATATTTGATCACAAAGACAAAAATAACTGTCAAAAAATACATACAAACAATCAGAATTTAAAAACAATCGTAACAATCTGAATTAAAAAAAAAACTAAACTAAATGAATGTACTTGAAATTTAAAAATAACATATTTAAATACACCTAAACTATACAATAATAAAATAATATTAGTGTGACTAAATAACTATTATATTATAATATTAATAATATTTTTTTTTAGTTTAGTCGAACCATGGACGCGGTGCAGAGACACAGATCCATGTACAAAGGCACGACTCCACCATGGAAAGAAACATACCGGATGGTAAGTGTCGTGTTTGCTGAGGAATCTCATGAAAGCTGTCTACAACAGCATAATAAATTAAAGAAATGTATTGTGTTTTGAATACAGGACATTTTTTTATTTAGACATCTATTTCCAGTAATGAAAATCATCCTGTTCCTCCTTTCGGCAATGATAATTAGTTGTTATTTCTTCCTTATGGCAATAAATGAATATATTTATGGGGCAAAACTCTCAAAACCTTGTCTATCCCAATCAAAACCCTTCCCCAGACCACAAGGTACTGATATGGATACATTTGTATTACTAAAGATAAAATATTCGTAATATGAAATATTATGTGGAATGTAAATATCATTGTGTATGGTTGCTCTACGTTTATTTTAACTACTATATTTATTTTAAAATGTTTTCCATTCAAAGTGGTACAGGTTTTAGAAACAAGGAACTGCTCAGGATGAAATTATCACATCATTATAATCCATTTTTAATTGAACCGCGTGAACTATCAGCAGTGTGCTGTTGTTGAGAAAAGCTTGGAGACACTAAAGTGATCAGATGACGGTGTGATGTTTGTCCCCAGCGCTGTGTGGAGCGGTTGAAGAACAGCCGGTCGAGGTTACTGGAGAAGGTCAGACAGATGGGAGAGGATTCGGGAGGATCCAAGGTGATGGAGGAGGAATGGAGCGCCTTGCAGTCGTCCAATCACAGTCTCCCCTCGCTCTGGAATGGAAAGGGCATCAGAGATGTGTGTATTTGTACCATTTTCTGACATGAGAACCCTCATGTCGTTCCAAACCTTTTCATTTTCTATACCAGGGGTGCCCAAACTCGGTCCTGGAGGGCCGGTGTCTTGCAGAGGTTAGCTCCCACCCCAATTAGACACACCTGAACCAGCTAATCAAGCTCTTACTAGACATACTAGAAACTTACCGGCAGGTGTGTTGAGGCAAGCTGGAGCTAAACTCTGCAGGACACCGGCCCTCCAGGACCGAGTTTGGGCACCCCTGTTCTATACGATGAAGGCAGACAGTGATCTGGGGCTTTTAAACTCCATTAAGGACATAACAATATCAGAAAAGCATTACAAGGACAAAACAAACACTTCTCAACACCTTGCGTTAATATTCAGTGCCACTTCTTTTAGCGCCTCACCAACTCCACCATTTGAAAGATCACCAAACTATATTTATCCCTTAAAATGCAAGTTATCTGGCACGTTTTACCATTTCTTTAAGCCAACATCTTATATTTGGTGCACAAATACTTTTTCCAGTATAAATAAATAAGCCGTTTTGCTCACAGGATACACATAATTATAAATATTGTAGGATATTTTGATTTAATTTCTATATATCTTTTTCAATTAATAGGTTTTATCACAAAGACAAAAACAGCTACCATAAATTGCATACAAAAAATTAAAATAAAAAAAAATAAAAAAATCTTGTTTATATTAACCTAAAATAAATAAACAAATAAATACAGACTAAAAAAATTAATTAATTTATATTTAAAAAATCTTGCGTTTATGTTAACCTAAAATAAATAAATACAGATAAAAAAAAAAAGAAATTAATTTGTGTTAAAAAAAAATCTTGCGTTTATTAACCTTAAATAAATAAACAAATACAGACTAAAAAAAAAATGAAATTAATTTGTATTAAAAAAGTCTTGCGTTTCGTTTATATTAACCTAAAATAAATAAATAAATACAGACTAAAAAAATTAATTAATTTGTATTTAAAAAATCTTGCGTTTATATTAACCTAAAATAAATAAATACAGATTAAAAAAAATAAATGAAATTAATTTGTGTTAAAAAAAATCTTGTGTTTATTAACCTTAAATAAATAAACAAATACAGACTAAAAAAAGTAATTAATTTATATTTAAAAAATCTTGCGTTTATATTAACCTAAAATAAATAAATACAGATTAAAAAAAATAAATGAAATTAATTTGTGTTAAAAAAAATCTTGCGTTTATATTAACCTAAAATAAATAAATACAGATTAAAAAAAATAAATGAAATTAATTTGTGTTAAAAAAAATCTTGCGTTTATTAACCTTAAATAAATAAACAAATACAGACAAAAAAAAAGAAATTAATTTGTATTAAAAAAATCTTGCGTTTCGTTTATATTAACCTAAAATAAATAAATACAGACTAAAAAATGAAATTAATTTGTATTAAAAAAATCTTGCTTTTATATTAACCTAAAATAAACAAATAAAAATAAATACAGACAAAAAAAATGAAATTAATTTGTATTAAAAAAATCTTGCGTTTATATTAACCTAAAATAAACAAATAAATACAGACTAAAAAAAAGTAAAGGTGACAAAGGAATAATAAAATCAAGGATCTTTTCTATCTTTTTTTTTTCTTTCCGCCACATCTTTTCACAACTTTTTCATATTCCCATATGCAGTGATATAGCATACCTGTAAACTCTGTGCATCTTAAGCAAGTGTCAGGGACATTTTCATGATTTTATGCAATAGAGTTAGAGTTAATGTAAGTCCACATCAACCATTTATACTTCGTCATTTACTGAAAATCTTCCCCCTATATTTATTTAATATTTATCCAAATATTTAAACTTGACCAGTCATAATGCATCAGTGGATATCATTGAAACCGATTGTGAAGCCGCACGTTTGCGTACGTGGAAGCACAAAGAGATTTGAGACATAATGTTGAGTAGGCTAAATGAAGATGGATCGTCATTTGCTGGATTATTTCTTGAAGCGTGTGTTTCTCTCCTGATTCTGGAGGAGTATAACAGCAGCATGCGGTATGAAGAGCAGTATATAAACTCAGTGTTGGAGGCGTCCGGACGTCAACACAATTGTAAGTAGTCTCACAGCACTTTATATGGACATATAATCCACACTTTATATCCTCCATTATATGGACACTTGGTATAATAAATGCATTATTTGATTGGTCTGGATGGAGTAGAATATATATTCTAGAATATCATGTTATTAAACTATTAAGTTTGCATGTGAGCACTAGATGAACGGACTGGGAAATCTTGGGTTATTATGTAGGAACCAGTGGTATTGTAGTATCATTGAGAGATACTGTTGTAGTCTCTCTTAATATTTTGATTTGGTTTTGTTTCTCTCCTCGCCTAGCGAGTCATAGGGGTCAAAGGTCACTGCTGTGTATTTATTAGGGCCCTATGAATCAGTTTTATCTTTTGCCTTTAAAATTTTTCTGGATTCCTTTTTTAACCGCACTGTTTACTTTTTTTTATATTTTTTTATCAGATTTAATGGATAAATTACTCCCCCCCCCAAAAAAAAAACTGTCTAATTAATTGAATTGATGAAACCTATACGATTTAAGAACTTTTTATTATAAGTTCAACAAAAAATCTAATTTTTTAGGGCCCTATGAAATCTGTTTTATTTTTTTTCCCCAAATTCCGTGTTTTCTGTTTGAATTCTTCTGGATTTCGTTTTAATTGCATTTCAATCATCAAAAAGCATGTCTAATCAACTGAATTCATAAAACTAGAACAATTTAATAATTTATTAACATATTTACAGTTATAATTGTTCTGGATTTATAATTGAATACAAATGTATTACCAAAAACAGTGGTGATCAAATGAAGGCATAAAACATTAACAACTTAGTTAATCTTTTAAAATGTATTCAAATGAAAATGTAACAATTTGAAAAAAAAAAAAAAGTTTCTTTTTTTAATTTAAAGTATTACGTAGTTGTGTGTGTTTTTTTTTTTAATGTCTAGATATTAATTTTTAGTCACTTTTTTATTTTAGTTTTAGCTATTTTAGCATCTTAAGTTAAACTAGATGAAAATATGAATTGTTCCTTTGGCAACTAGATGAAAAAAAATACAAGTGTATATATATACATGCATGCATGCATACACACACATATGAGGGGCCGTACAAGCCATAATTCATTCTGGCACTCTCACACACTTACATTCTCCTTTCACATACATATATTTCTACTCTCACACACACATACATTCTCCTTTCACATGCATATATATATATATATATATA